GCCGTCGTCGTTCATCGCGGTCTCGGTCGCCACAGCGTCGCTATCGCTCTCGATCGCGCGACGCGACGTGGACCAGTCGCCGCGAGCGATCGCCACCAGCGCAGGGTGGCAGCAGACCAGGTCCGTCTGCGCCCATCGCTGGGCCATCCCGCGCATCGGGGTCGTCGAGGGCCCCAGCTGCGGGTGCATCGAGCTTCTCTGGGAAGCAGCGTGCGGCCGCATCAGCGTCGGCTCCCATGGACCGTCCTACGGACGCCATGGCGGTCGATGACGCCCCGCCGCCACCTACCTCACAGCCATCGGCGCGCGTCGTGGGCACCTGGAGCTACTCCGACGTCGATGATGACGATGACGAGGACGAGGACGAGGGCCGTCGGCGCAAGAAGAAGAGTAAGGGCAAGGCCCCGCAGCCACAGCTGCCGCTCCCTCATGAGCCCGCACAGGAGCCCCGAGAGTCGTACGGCTCCGGGTTCTCTGTTGAGCTCGTCACCAAGCGTGACGGCGGTAACCCATTCGTCGTGGGCCGCCTGGGTAATTACGTGCGCATCGGTAACCACACGCTCGATGCGCGCTGCCCACTCCCACCGCGGGACCCTACGACCAGCGACATCAACCCGCTCACGGGCGCGAGATGGCGGCCCGCTGAGCTGCGCACGCACCCTAACGGGTACTACGGCCTGCCAGCTAACGGTCGCGAGGGCGTGGTGGATGCCCGCCAGAGTCGTGTGGCCGTCGCCGACGCCAACGACCCCAAGACTCTGCTTCTGGGGGGGGAGGGGGCCACGCTCCCTGCGGCATTCAGACGCGACTTGCCGCCGTACTACAACGACATGTCCCGCGTGGACTTGAAGGAGTTCTGGCAGAACTCGCCGCCGCGTTACCGTATGCCTCGCAACGGCGACGAATTCAAAAAGTTCGAAGCGGCTCGTAACAGGCCGGGCAACTGGATGGCGTACCAGCTATGGAACCGCTGGGTTGCTCAGGCTGACACGCAGACCACCGGCCGCACATCGGCCCAGTACGCGTTGCTGAAGCACCGCAAGCCGCGTCCTCGCTGGACGCTCGAATACTCCGATCCCAGGTCGACCACGCGACGCTCGCTGGCCGAACGCCTCAACGTAGGCGAGGGTGATGATGCCCCACAGGACAACGTCCTGCCTCCGGCTGGTACCCAAAACACCACTATCCCCGGCCAGGAGGAGGACGTGCCTATGGACAACAACCAAGGCACACCCCAGGACTCGGACGTCGAGCACGCCCCGCAGGACGACTCCCTGCCTCCACCGGACACCGTGGGTCTGAGCTTGATATCCGGTACTTGGACTGGGGCGTCGTCTTGTTTGTCTTCATCCGTCGCTGTAAGAACAGGTACTGATGAGGCTAAGCGACTGTTTCGAGGCGTTCTCGCTCACCTTCTCGTACTGGTACGTACACTTTACGCCATCTCTTCGCCGCGCCTTTTTTCCGCGGTGGTGGCTTTTGTCCTAGGAATATTATGGGCATAGTGGTTGTGGTGGAAGTCGTTGAAGTACGTAGAGTGAGAGGAGGAGTACTTGATCAGTGGCCATCGTCACTTCTAGGTTCACAGAATGGCCCCAGATGGCTGCGCATTTGTAGTATCTTCGTGACTGGCCCAGGTCGCATTGATGCGCTGATCAGTGCTTTAGCGAGATTGCCAACCGACCACCAAACAGATTGCGTATTTACCACGACTCAAGTACATATGACTAGCTCCCATCTTGACAGTACAGCGAGGAATACGACGCAGAGACGATGTTTCTCTGCCAATTCTACAAATACACATGCGGTGGCCCAGCGTCTAGTCACGTGATACGGCAATGACCGAAAGATGAGCGATTAGATTAGATATTGATTAGATTTCAGATATAGATTAGATAAATTAAAGAAAAGAGAATTAAAAATGCTCCGAGTGAGGCTTGAACTCACGACCTCAGGATTCCCCGCAAACACGGTCATATGCTGAAATATGAGACCTGCGCTCTCCCGACTGAGCTATCGAAGCTTGCAATCGTGTTGCTACAGCGGATTATGGCCACGTGAGAAGGCGCCTCCATCCTTTCGAGAATGGCCGCACGTGGGTGTTCTGATAGGGCTACCAATCGGGAACCCCAACCCTGCCTAACCCTAATCGAGGGTCAGTGACCCTAGTTAAACCCTAGTTTTCTCGAACGCTTCAAAAGTCGTGCCGTCTTCGGCAGCCCTTGACCTACTTCGCCCGAGAATGCCGAGCCTTGACGCGTCCTCGTACACTTCACTTCGACTATACTCTCCCTTCACTCTCCCTTTATATCGCTTGCGGTCTTCATCTGCGTGTGGCTTTGGTTAGCCTTGCTATTGAAACTGCATACCAGACGGCTTCTGAGGCGTACGACCTTCCCCCGGGTTGTGTCGGCTCGGTGGAGAACGCTGTAGAAGAACTCGCGTCCGCCGCCGTCCCGTCACTTACGCTTTCATGTCGCTCAACGCCATCCTTTCTCGTTTGACCGTATCAACCATCGGATTGACTTGCAAAAGCTTCCTAAGCATTGGATACTGCTCATCGGTCACGGTCAATGGCCTGGAGAACTTGAAGGCTGCGTTGCAAAGCTCAGAGCGAAATGCGGGGCGGGGGGTTATCACTGGTGCGTTTCCCGGTGTCGCTACCTGTTCCACGTTGTAAGGCTAACATTCAGATAGTCAGCAACCACATATCTACGTATGTCTACGCGGTCCAAGTTTTCGTCCGTACTCAGCCGATCTCGCAGACTCGACGATCCAGTAACATGGGGAGTACTCCCAGCGCACTACTTCTTCAGCTCTCGCATGACGAGATGGACACTGGGTGCATCTGACATTATGTTCACGAATCCGTAAGTTTAGTCTGCCAATGATCCACGCTGTTTCCTGAGCAACGCTGTTAGGTAGGGTCTTCTCGGCTTTCTTTCGTAAAGGACAAGTCTTGGAGACTTTCCGCGGTACGGGTATCTTCCAGCCCGCAATAGACACTGCTATCTGTAAACTTAACAACGGTGCATGGGTACGAGCTCTATCATGATGACGTTTGTGTGCTAAAGATGAACCTACGCCAGGTCCATCTATTCGGTGAAGGGAAGGTGAATCAGCCAGGGAACGAAGCTACTTCTTCAAAAACGCCACTACTCCTACGATTCAAGTGGGGAGTGTGAGTAATATCTATAGACTGATTGACTTAACCTGACTTGTTCTCTTAGTGGTCGTATCTTAATGGAAGCCCATAAGCCACCAATAGTCGTTCCGATGTGGCTTACAGGTGCGTCGGCATTCCTCCTTTTCATTCCTCATCGTGCCACTCACATGGCTTGTACATATGCATATCCACTCAGGATTCGAGAAGTTGATGCCTGAAGGTCGCTCATGGCCGTGGAAGTATCTCCCGCGGCGTCAGGTTGCGCTCAGTGTTACCTTCGGAAAGCCCATTCGCGACGAGTCAATTAAAGCTGCCCTTAGCGGCATCGGCCCTCTCGCTGCGAATCCGTGCACAGATGACTCGAAGCACGGGCTTGCCACTCAGCACGAACAGTCACTCGGTGTGGGACCGGGGACTCAGAATGAGGTACGCAGCCTCGACGCCTCAGAGCATGGTTGGATGGGCGACGTGGTCGCGCGTCAGGTCAAGGTAGATGCTGTACCTGAGCAAGCGAACGAGCTCGCGCGAGAGACGGCGCGCATCCGCAGCGCGGTGACGGCAGTGCTGCACCGCGAAGTGGAGGCATTGGGTCGGCACGTCCTGGGATTGGATAGAAAATCTTGATCCCAGTGCAAGGATCATATAACATTACGATCGGCATTGTAGAGAGACGCGTCGTATCATATTGGGACTTTAACTTCGGATGTTGTATATCAGATAGTCGCAGCCACTACTCGTCTGTTTCCCATCGAAGGTCATCAGGATACATGTACGTTGCCGTATTCTTCGACTTGTACTTTACAACTAAATCATGTGTATTTCAGCGGTATCGTAACGATTTCATGTGGCTCTAACCGATAGTGTTGGCTGAAACTAGATCTATAATGCGTGTGTCAGGAATCTTACCCTGAGCAAAGAGATCGCTACGTACCCATGTTCAACATCTAACATTGAATGACAAGATTCCCGGCAGATTAGGATCCAGGCAAGTACCGTTAACATGTCCTTGGTACTCGACTGTCGGATTGACGAGTTCGCTGCCAGGACTGCAGTTGGGCTCAACATATAGCGTCAAAACACATCCATCGTCGAGGGTGTCGACAAGCACAGAGCGGCTTAACTCCACGTCTATACACCTCGACGTTCCGTCAGCCCCTGTTGCGCTTCCGGCGACGGTCCCTAGACAATGTGCTTCTGTGACTGGTGATTCAAGGTGTCATCTCAATCCAAAATCTCTTGGGATAGGATTACTTACAAAGTTCAACATTGTATGAAGCGGCGGCAGTGGAAACGACGAGAGCAAGCACTGCCGTGGAGGTAACCAACTTCATCGGAAGTATGTCCAAGATGAGTGTTGTTGACCAGCTGCATCCCCTGTCTAGGTTTATGTAGGTGCCTCTACGCTGTGCGTCCGGCTATTCTGACGTCGCGACCGACATTACAGGCACAGACACAGATTACTGCGGACTCCAGTATGCAGCCCTCTGTACTCAAAACCGAGCAAGGAAACCTTGCGTATGTGTAGGCACAAAGCAGGAGGGTCTTTCGGTACAGAAACCGACATCATATGATACTTACACTCAGCCATCATTTCGAATCGCGCTTATAGGGCTGTGGTTGCATAGGCCGTGATCAGTCGGACAGCCTTGATTCAGGACTCGCCGAACTTATCTTATGAGGTGCGAACGTTCATTTACATGTTGTAGTCTCTATTTAGTTTGTCTCCAAGGTCCTCGCTTGCGTATGGAAGCAGTTGCTTTTGCCTCGGCCCCAACGTGAGTATTATGATCCCTCCAACAGGCACCTGGTTCCCACGCCACAAACGCGCCCAAGCGGATGGATGGAAGGACGGAAGATCGTGCCGGCTGGCTGGCCGTACCTCCTGAAACCAGGTTAGCTCTCTTTTTATACAAAATCTTTGCTCGTGCTTGTATGTGCTCGTGTATCGTCCTTTTTTGTGCCAGATGAGAAACTAGCTACAACTTACAAACGTTATCCCGTCTTCAGAATACTCTGAACAGAAGTGGTGAACAAGCGTACGGTTACTACGCATCAACTCCGGTACACTCGGTGAGCTTGATCACACTCTGCGTCAATGCTTGTTCTCATCCTCAGTCTTCGTCCAAAAAGAGGCTCAGGTGCGTATATAGCACGCTAAATCACATGCATCACACTGGCCATGCTTAGTAGGAACGAGCTCCATTGCTACGTATGCGAATACTTGATCAGCGATACTCTGCATATCAACATCGGACTCGCGCGGTTCTGGGATAAAGCTGAAGCATCGGATCAAGTGTAATCATGATAGACCAGCCTACAGCGGGAGTACTATGTCTCGATACATCATATGCGCTGTATCTCAGGAGCTATATGGGAGCCTAGGTTTAGCAAGCCACTTAAAGGAGTATCACCAATTACGTACGTCATATTAGCACTTAGCTTGGAATGATCTGATGCTGCCGGGTACGCCAGGATTCAAGCAGAAGTTGCTAAGTGGTCCTGGATACGTAATAGTCGAGTTCACCACATCGCTGGCACCGAAGCAGCTGGCCTCCGCATAAACCGTCAAAGTGCACCCTTCATCGAGGGTATTGACAAGCACGGAGTGGTCGTTTTGAACCTCGATACAGATTGGTTCGCTGTTGGTGCCGCTCGCGCTCGCATCGGGGGTGCCGGCGCATTTCGTAGCAGAGACTAACGTTTTTAGGATATGTCAACTCGTACCAAAACAATGATATGGGCACTCACAAAGTTCGACATCATACGAAGCAGCCGCGGCGGCTGCGACGAACGCCAACAATGTAGCGACAGAGGTAGTGAACTTCATTGATAGATGCTTGGCAAGACGGTTATAGGCTGTCTAAGGCAAGTGTTGCTCCTCGAATGAAGCGCAACGCTGATTTTATAGATGTGCATTGCAGGTATACGCGCTATGCGCGTCTGGCTACCGTAACATCGTCCGGGAATAACTCCAGCGTTGATCGACTTGACAAACAACGGATCCGGTATCTTCGGAGCCCTCGATGCTACCTACTGCGGAGTCCGGTGTTTAGCATCCGCCCTGTGAGACCCAAGTGATGAGCATGTCTGGGCCCGACTAATTTACGTCCGTATTGACACAAGTGTCGTCTGTCCCCTGACGCGAGGGGCACATATTATTAGGATTTTGTGGTACATATCCCCTCGTTACAGGAGATGTTCGAAGGGCAAAAGTCGTGAACAGGCCACGACCGTTGGCGATGTTGAGCGCGAACGTCCGGGGCAGCAATTACTGCTACGGTTAGACTGTCGGCATTAGCTAAGTCTGCTATTCCCTCCATTATATTTGCATGTGCCTGATTCACGTGTTCCTAGAATGGTCATCAGCACTCTAGAATACTTTGGCATCAATGTCATGAAACAGAACATCGAGGGTGACGGAGCGCAACTGAACAGACGGATCATATTGCATCAACCTGATGACCTGCTGGGTTAACGCAGAGTCCTCGCGGTGTGGGCATTCTAATTCTAGGTACGCTCCGATGAGTGGTTCGATATTGAACATCACTGGAATCACTGAGTCCAGATCATATGAATCGAGTGGCATGGAGATAACTTGGTTACACGTGGTATACTGCAGCCTGTCGGCCGCCGTAGGGAGTACAAATTGGGTACGGGGATTTACTGTTATTACATCAAAAACTATGCAGACGCGTTTCTCCCTCCAGCAAAAGCAGCATCCTACCGAGCAAATCGAGTCAGGTCCCGTATCACGCTCGGTATACGAGTCATGGAAACACGTACCATAACCATTAACCACAGCTAGCTTCAAAGGAGCCAAACGGAACGATCTGTTGATTTTGATCCTCTGAGAAGAA